TGTCAGTGAGTGTTAGAGTGAGCATTAGAGTGAGTGAGTGTGTCTGCTAGGGAGTGTCAGTGAGTGTTACTGTGTGTGTCTTACTGAGTGTGTGTGTTAGTGAGTCTGTTTTATGTCTGTTAGTGAGTGTGTGTTTGTCAATGAGAGTGTATGTTTTGTAAGTGAGTGTGTATGTATGTCTGTCGCTGAGTGTGTCTGTCAGTAAATGTGTGTGTCTGTTAGATAGTGTGTATGCATCTGTAAGTGAGAGTGTGTGTGTCTTCAGCACTTACCTTTCTCCAGCGCCTGACTCCCTTGGCGCAGGGGATCCCTCAGCCTCTCTGCTCCGAATGAGACTGCGCACGCATTCAAACCGCCCATAGGAAAGCATTACTCAGTGCTTTCCTATGGACGTTCAGTGTGCTCCTCTAGCGGCTGTCAGTGAGACAGCCACTAGAGGCTGGATTAACCCTCAGTGAAACATAGCAGTTTCTCTGAAACTGCTATGTTTTCAGCTGCAGGGTTAAAACTAGAGGGACCTGACACCCAGACAACTTCATTGAGCTGATGTGATCTGGGTGTCTGTAGTGGTCCTTTAAGTGTGTGTGTATCTGCATGCAGTGGCGTACATACCGCGGTCGCCGGGGTCGCAGCCCTGTAACCCCTGTGACCAGCAGCCCACCGCCATGTGTTGCGGCCCAGCCCGCACACGCGGGGGGGCCCACGGATCAATTTTCGCACCGGGGCCCCATGGGTCATGTGTACGCTACTGATTGGCACAAGTGAACAAAAACATTTAACATCTAACTAAAGGGCAAGCTACTGAGTTTCTCTGAGCTTTTACCCAAGTACTCATCTTCTAGTTTCTAGAAAGGTTTGAACTTCAAATTGTACATGGTTCTAGCAGATAAATGGGTCTAGTGACCAAAGTGGGTTTAGAATGGATGCTGTATGTAATGTAACTCTGTGTATGGATTATAAAATAATGTGTAACATTGCTAGATTACATGTAACAGTACAAAATAATTAAACCACATGTCAAAGGAAATGAGAATCTAGGTATGTTTAATAAAAATTATTTAATAAATAATAAAATATATATATTTTTTTTTAATAGAAGGCAGAGGACAGTACAGTGGGCAAATACATCCCTTGTAGCTGTTGACCAGTGTCCAGTTCAAGCACAAAACATGCTCAAATTGTTGTCTTGTGTAGTAGTGGCATAACTTGTAAGCAGATTTTATGAGTGACATAGTGCCGTCACAAGTGCCATAGAAATTAGTTTTGCTGCAGACATTATTACACTGCAATATACTAAAGGAACATGTATTGATGAATTCAACAAAAGAACGGCAAATATGTTTTTTGAAGAAAATGAGATACTAGAGACAATTATGAAACAACAACGCAAAACAAATAAAATAAAAAACTATGTGTTATTTGGCAGGATGTTTGAAAAGGCAAATAAATGCCAAGGTCATTACAAGAAAAGGCTAAGTCAGTTATAGACAAAATCACATACAAGTCATGGAGTGGACATTTTTAATGAAGTCAAAAGAAAGTTCCCCATGTATGATTCATTAATTCAAGGCCAACCAGCAACTTGATAATGGTGAGACTCTCTTCCTTCTAAAATAAAGGTCTTCTAGCTTTCGGAAGAACATCACAGCAGAAGGAAAGGGCTTAAATTCCTGAACGGCTTCATCCTATTAGGGAAAATCTCAGAAATCTTGAGTAAATGTTTTATATCTTACATATATAAAAAGGAAGCCTTTATTTAAAAAATGAAATGTTTAGCTAACAATGGACTTATTCAGAAGAAATTATTCTATGATTAAAAAAGGGGGAAATGCAAGGAATGGGAACTGCTTATAAGCAGGCACAAGTTAAATTAAGAGCGACTAGTATTTAGGAGCCCTGTGAGCAAAATATTCAGAACACACAGAGGTACTACTTGAGGTAGCTACATTGGATACAGGGTGCCAGCAAGAATGAATCCTCATACTGACTGCATATAGAAGCCCATATAGCAGCCCAGAGGCAGGATTCATTGTCACTGGCGTTTCATCAAACCCATCTGGGGTGGTGGTGCCCTGTTGACAAGACAGAGAAAACGACTTAAGGCCATCCGTTGAGGTATTTTCTGAGGAATGTGAAAAAGCTTCTTCACTTGGCATCATCTTGGGCCTGTGAAGAAGATCTTCAATATTCTGTGAGTTCAATATTTTAGTGTTTGCTCATGGCTGGAGAAAGGTGCTCTCAGTAGTTTGCTGGAAAAAAGTAGAGTTCCAGGAGCCCAAATTCAGTGAGTCCTATGCTAAAGTACATTTAAAATGTTATGCCAAGGGCTGTCTATAAAGTTAATGGAGCCCTGTGCAAGATTTTGCCTCTTTTCCTGGGGGAAACACATGTGCATTTAACATTTTATATAGAGAGCCATCTCTAACATAAATGAGTCTCTGAATAAAGCCTCTACTTCTGTCCCCCTTATATTTTCCCCAAAGGTCACTTTCTCCCTCTTCCTTGTTCTCCTACAATCCTACATCCCTTACATCATATCATCACCAGACTTCCCTGCCACTACTCTACATCCACTTTTTCTCAGTTACCATTGCACACTCTCCATTTAAGTAAATATTCATTTAAGCGCCAACTAAATCCCCATTTCACTTCTGCACTTCTACCTTGTATCTCAATACATGCCTTTTCACTTCCCTTCACTCAGCGCACCTTTATCTAACAGTCCCCTCCATCTCATTTCTTTCCCTACAAGCAAGATAAATTATTGAAAGTTTTTACATGTGTAGTTACCTATGTTGTTTACTAGGATTTCCTCTGGTTTCTAAATCATCAATCAAAAGAGTGAAGACATTGGCCCTGTTGATGAACAGGGTTTATTTTCAAACAAGCTTACAAACAGGCCCTGCCCAAACAAGTTTAGAACCAAGATGAAGATCAACAGGGGGGAGAGGGAGGACCGATATAACACCTACCGCTCATTAAGCTTTTTTGAATCTGGAATTGAAGTGTAAGAGCCATGAAGGGATGAGGAGAAGCTAGATCAAAGAAAAATTCTCATGAAGCTGAAGGAATGTCAGGAATTGGGAATTGGGAAGGAGCAGGAAAGCAGGAATAATAGGAAGAGAGGAATAGAAAACTGGTCTTCTAAAAACAGGGCTACAGAATAATGGTGTTGCATTACTTACCTCCAACGAGCCGCATGGATCCCCTCCTCCCCGGCCACGCAGCCCACTAAGGGGGACTCACCTCCCTCAAGCCCTGAGGTTTTATAGGCAAAGACTGCAAATGTGAAACAAAGAACTCTGATATTGCCTAGGCAACGCAGGTATAATAGATTCTGCACTAATTAAGCGTGTGGAATGTGTCTTGATCCTTCATTTGGCATCTGCAATTGAGTGATAAAGGTATCACTATGGCTTTGACATATTAGCACAGGCACAGTGACGTCCTGCTCTGCATCAGTATGGTCACATTGCTTCCAGGTACCACACAGATGCTAACATGTAAGTAGGTGAAGCTCCCAAGATTCATGTCATGTACTTACTGCAATTTACTATGATGTTTATCGTACTAAGGGATATTCGAATATTAGGCCATTCTTGTTTCGTGATTAATTTGAAGGCCGGTTATCTGACAAAGTACAGTGTGTCTCCTTGACATACTTGAAAACAAGAGAAATGCCAATGTATGCTTCAAGATAAAACATTTTGTAAATAAATGGAAATATAAATAAGAACAACCAGAAGGGCTCAAAAGTTGTCAATATCAGGGTGAAAATAGAATATGTTCAATAGATACAAGAGAAAAACTGTGCACAACTTCCAGATAGATAATAAAAAAGAACAATAGAGTAGCTGTAGAGGTACAAGCAGGGGCGTACCTACTATGGTCGCAGGGGTTGCTGCTGCGACCGGGCCCCCAACTGCAGGGGACCCGGCCGCAGCCACGACCCCTGCGACCGTGGGCTGTCTAGATGCCGCCCCCTCTGTATTTCCCCCTGTCATAGGGGGCCCAAAAGATGGCCCACTGTCCACCTAATGGACCGGCGGCAGAGTTCCTGTCAGAGGCGGCAAGGGAGCTGTGTTCTCTCTGCTCTGCTCTCTCACGCACCGTTTGCTGATGCTGGGAGACAGAATATGACATCATCAATAGACAGCCCATGAGGGAGCAGAGCAGAGAGAAAACAGCTCCCTAGCCGCGTCTGACAGGAATTCTGCCGCCCGCTTCACTGAAGCCCCACTGACCCCAGGGACAGATCCACACCAGATCTGCAGGTAAGGAGGCTTGCTGGACATTTAATATTAATATTTTGTGTGTGTCTGTAAGTGTATGTGTGTATTTGTGTGTCTGTAAGTGTATGTATGTGTCTGTAAGTGTATGTGTGTCTGAGTTTATGTGTGTGTGTCTGTAGGGTGTGTAAGTGAGTGTGTGTGTGTGTGTCTGATTGTGTGTGTCTGTAAGTGTATGTGTCTGAAAGTGAATGTGTGTCTCAGAGTGTATGTGTGTGCGTGTCTGTAAGTGTATGTGTCTGTAAGCTTATGTGTGTGTTTGTGAGTGTACGTGTGTATATGTCTGAGCGTGTGTATATAAAGTGTATGTGTGTGTTTCTACATGTGTCTGTATGTATGTCTGTATGTATGTGTCTCTGTGTGTATATGTCTGTATGCATGTGTCTGCATGTGTGGGGGACGTGTGGAGTAGGAGGTAGATGTATGGGGGGCAGGGGGGGACAATTAAGCACCGGGCCCCGTGGTTTCTAGTTATGCCTCTGGGTACAAGTTCGATATGTTGAAACAATAGTCTTTATAGGAAACAAATAAAAAAATACAACCTACGCTGTATAGAGATATAAAACATGTACCATAAGGAAAGCCTGTTGTTTAAAAAATACCTTTGCCGCCGACCTCGCAACGATAAACTTGAAAATATCACGGGCATCTCAACCCATTCGCAGACACCAACCCCACTCCGAACACAGGGTAACTGAGAGGAGCCGACTAATGCCCTTCTTTCACCAAACGAAGCCCAGAAAGGTGAAACAAAAACACCGGGCCTACCTCACTCCCACGAGCTACGGCCTGGAGACTCTCCTGGACAGCATCGGGACGAAATACCGCCCAGACTCGGAGGAGACGGCCACCGCAACACACAGCAGCCCCACTGCAACCATGGGGCGTCACACGCAAAAACAGCACCCGGCATCGGCAGCAGACGAGCCGAACATCGGGGAAATGCACCCTCCAAAATGGCCACCACGAGATCCTCCACAGTAGGCCTCCCGCCAGCACTATCGGAGCGGGCTCACTCACTGGAGCTAGGGCCTGAGGACAAGCGACCCAACTCACCCCTGGCTTGCACAGAGCTGAGCGAGAATACCTTTGCTACAAAACAAGACCTGCAAACATGGATGCAGGAGATTCAAACCCTGCTAGCCGCGGATATTGGCACTCTCAAGACGGACGCACGTAAAACCGCGGAGAGGGTGAGTACCATAGAAGGGGACATACAATCACTAACCAGTGGGACATCAAATCTCACCGCAGCCCTGCAGTCCCTGCAGACAGCCCACCAGGCACTGGCGACGCAGGTGGCCACCCAGGAGGACCGCCTGCGTCGCAACCACATTAAGCTAAGGGGAGTCACAAAAGAAATCACCACAGAGGAGTTGCCCCACTTTGTGAGGAGGCTTCTAACCTCCATACTACCGCCAGCTACAGCCAGAAAACTCACTCTAGAAGGCATATTTCGGCTGCCAACTGGGAACACCACACCAGCCGCGGAGGCTAGGGACGTTATATTAAAGTGTGCTACAACACAAGATAAAGCAGCAATACTGGCAGCAATCAGAGGCAAGACTCCCCTACCGTTCGAAAACTCCAACCTATTTTTTTTCCAAGACCTCACCCGAGCGACACTACTCTGGCGGAGATCAATAAAACACTTAACAAGCCGCCTGAGAACCGCAGGCATACAGTACAAATGGGGCATGCCGCGGACCCTGCTGATTCCGCACAACAGGACTATCCATAGAGCCACATCGGAGGCAGACATACTCGCAGTCCTCGCACTTTTGGGACCATCGGACGCTCTCCAGATTACAGCCCAGACAGGACCAGCCCGGATGGGAGATCCAGCCACCACGAGACCATTTAACCCCCGATCCCCAAGCACAGACTCGGAAACCTGACACAGTCTGCAAGCAAGCCTGGCCAACCTGGCTCAAGCGGACTTTATTAAACCCGCATACTGAACTGTTGCTCTTTTCATATAACTGTTTAGTTATACCAGTTATTACCTCTGTTCTTGACCCACACATTCCGTGCCAATTACTCACCCATACACTAAGTGATACCCACACACTCATTGACAATCACATGAGACCACACTAATGCAGGGAGGCTCCAGACAAGCTCTCTACACCTCCCCCCCTATCCCCGCAGCCCCCCTAGGTTAGGGGCCCCCACTACCGTGGTAAAAGCCGTGACCCCACAATGACGTTACATCACAGACGACCGGCTCACAAAGAGTGACCACAGCTAAAGTAACATCACGGGTAGACCACCCTTGACTTCTCATGAACGCCACAAACTAGTGCACTTACACATAGTAATACAAAACCTCATCAAGAGTACAACCATGCGACCCAAACCACGAAGAGCAGAAATAGGGGCTAACACTACTACATGACGGGTTATACACCCAGAAACATATGTAAGCACTAATGCACGCAACCGTTATGCAACATGTTATAAAAAGAAAAGTATGTGCTGAACAACTTGACTAAATACCATGTAATGCATATTCTAAACTCCTGTATCTGTCAATATAATGCATGAATCCAAATAACACACAAACAAAATAAAGAATTTTAAAAAAAAAAATACCTTTGCCAAAATTATTATTTAGACTAAAATCAGGACAAAATGTGTCCTATATCGCTGAACAACAACTTATACACATACTTACTATTTTACTTAGATTTAGGGCTAAATAGTAACTGCTTAATGAATAGCAATTTGGGCCTTAATGTGCCAAATATTCCTCTCGGGTTTCAAATAAATGTTAAACTGTTAAAAAAAAAAAACAAATAAACAAATAAAAATAGTAAAAAAAAAATCTTTGGTCTGTCCTGGAATCATGTCTGAATTGCAAACGGTAGACCAAATAACCATGTCAGACAATTTATCTAATGGAGTTATTTTTATAAACCTGCTATTTTTTGCTTCAATCCCGCAGGGAAATGTTTCCATTTCCAAAACTTCGCTGTTTAGTGAAAAAAAATAACATAGAATCTCCAATGGCGTTAAGAAGATTTTGACAAAGGGTTAAAAACACTCACTAAGAATAACAAAAATTTCCGTTTATTTTCAGTGTTTATATTTTATTTTACATGTAAACGTCCACAACTTATAACCTCCGACCTTCTTTCTTCTAATTAATAGAATGGGCAGCAAATCAAATCTGTTATATTTACATAGGAGACATATATTGCTGATATATAGAGGTTCCTTCATTAGTAAATGGAGGCCTAAGTATTCCCATCAGTGATTCTCAAGAAGTAATCATTATTGACATTTCTACGCAAGCAGTTTCCTTCCATTTTACGTCTGAGTCAAGGTGAAACGCAAGATATCTTCTTTGACATTGCCGGCGACCGAGACATTCGCAGTGTGAAATGCGATTCATATTAATGTTGGGAAACGTGTTGTTGTCATTAAACTGTTCCCGCTGAAACACTTTGCAATCATTATATGTGTGGAAAGGGCGATTGTGATAATTATGATAACATGTCCACTCGCATCTACACAATTTATTTGCCTTTTAACCAAAATAGACAAAGCTGACATTTAAAAACTGGTAGCAATAAAAAAAATAAAAAAAAAATGGTAATGCAAAAATGATGCTACTTATTATTAAGATGTTACTTTTTAGTCAACAACTCTTGGGGTCACAAATGTAAAAAAAAAAAAAAAGCTGTAGAAACGGCAAAGCAAAAAGGCATTGCAAGTGTTGTGATAATGTTTTGCATGTGATGAGCGCCATCTAGTGGTCTTTTTAAAAATTAAGCACAGAATAGCAGCCCAACTCTCAACGGAGCATACCATTTAAAGGCTCCTTTATTTTTGAGACATTTTTGCACATTCATGGGCTATTATAAGAACTAGCTTTATCTTTTGCCAATGTTTTTGCAATGTATTAATATTTTCGTATTAATATTTTCTACTTGATTTTATAAAGATTTTATAGCAACCTTTTTTCCATGCACTGTGGAATGCTGGTATTAAATCGTATACTCTTTTACTCAATAATTGTCACTGTGCATATTTATTTATTTATAAAATATTTTACCATGATGGATACATTGAGATTTCTCACGTCAGATTTTCATGTCCTGGGTCTTTGTCCACAAAACATTGCATTGTTACAATAGGATACAATATTGCAAAAATACAATATATAAACTATATATACACACACATATATAAGTTTAATACATAACAGGTAATAAATATATTCAACCATGACAGGTGCATTCTGTATTGAGGTGTATTGCCATAGATCTCTTAAAATATTTAAGATTGAATGAAGATTTGACTGTGTCCCTGAGATTATTCCATAATTGCGGTGCTCTGTAGGAAAAGGAGGATCGAGCCACTTTATTTTTGTATTGCGGTATGCTAAATATCTTGCTGGTACTGGATCGGAGGTTATAGGAGGTGGGAACAGCCGGGGAGAGCATTCTGCTCAGGTAGGGTGGGAGTTTCCCAGAAAAGCTGTTATGCACAAGGCTGGAGAGATGAAGAGTGAATCGGGATTCCAGCGACGGCCAGTTTAGCTCTGTTAACATGTCACAATGGTGGGTAAAGTAATTACATTCTAGTACAAAGCGGCAGAATGAATTATATAACGTATTAAGTTTATGAAGGTGGTTTTGCGACTCAGGTGCATACACACCATCCCTGAAATCAATGACCGGCAGTAGCATTTGTTGCACTATCTGTTTCCTTACTGTAGGGCTTAGGAAGGATTTAGGAACTGTGATGCATTCTTAGGTATTTAAATGGCGCCAACATATTCAGCAGCACTTTACATTTATAGAAAGAGGATATTAGTGGTAAAATATATGCAAGCAGTTGCGCTTACAATCTATGTAGCCAGATATATGTCAAACAAGTTTAAAGTTATTAAAAAGTAATATTTGGAAGATTTTGTTTTCTTTGTACTTCGAATTGTAAGTTCAGGTAGAACAAGGCGCCTAAGAAATTGCTGAGCAGAGTATCAATATTGATCATTCAGTTTGGTTATAGAGCAAAAATAAGAGTTTAGTTGTGAGATGGTCCACCATTAGACCGTGGGGTATGAGCTCTAAATACATTTTTGAAACCAAAAAGAAGAAAAAAGGTGACTATGTGCTAAAATCATGTCTGGAACGTAAAGAGACAAGCAGTTTCCCCCAATGAAAAAATAGATGTTGAAATGCATGCAAGTGTTCTTTTGGGGTATATCTACTAAACATTGATTTTTAGTTATTTTGTATTTGAGCAGTGACGTTTTCCTTTAACCTTCATTCAATTACTAAAATGCATCATTAATACATTTCCATAAAGCAGATGTCACTTTGTTACTGCGGTAATATATTAGAAAAGGGGAAAATTGACCGTTAAAGAAAAAGCCATTTGTACTGAGTACAATAGTCCTAAATATCTATTCTTATTTGCCAAAAATGTATTACTTTGTCAACACTTATTTTACTGAATATAATACATTCTACTTTTTACTAGTTGTAGTGATCAGAATCACCTGCAGAGGTCTAACTGTTCTCTAAACATGCCTGTGCTAAATATGACATAATGTTTCTAAATAAGACTATTCCCATAAATCCCCAATAAAGGGTCTTCCCCACTAGTGATGTCGCGAACCGAAGGCAGCTTCAACATGGATGCTGGCCAGGAGGTGGGAGGGTCTGGGAGGGAGGGTCTGCTGGAGATTGGCCAGGATGTGTCAGCTGACCGGGGCTCGCCACGAGCCGTTCGCGGGAAGTTCGCGAACGGTTCGCGACATCTTTATTCCCCATTGTTAAGAGCTGGCCTCAAAGGAATAAAGTATGGCAGATAAAAAGACAGAATTAAAAGCAAAAAGCAGCTGTTCCCTGGTTTACCCTGACTTTTTTAAATTCTATATTGCACCTACATATTTTACAGCCAATTTGATCTACTTATAGGCAAAGGAAGAATTCAGATAATGATAATAAGAACCTGACTCTCCATTGTAC